ATATGTAACTAAAGTATTTAATCTTTTTATCTAAGTTTTAAGAAAATGACATGTGGCGTTAATTGAAAAACACTTTAGGTACTTAGATGAAAGAAATTGAATACTCTAAGTATCCATTTTGGCAAAAAAAATTATGTACTTATTTTGAGCAAAAAAAATACTTTAGATACTTAAATGAAAAAGATGATATAATTAGATAAGTTCAAGTACTTATTTTGACCAAAAAGATAAGTTTAAGTACTTTTTTTAATTAAAAAATACTTTAGATACTTAGATACAAAAATATACTTTAGGTACTTTTTAACAAAAGTTACATTTTTCGTATGTTGGTCACTTAACTGTTAATTTTAACCATTAACTTAATAAAAATGGTGATATAACATGGTATAATAATAATTTAAATCACTAAAACTTATATAATTATTAAACTCGATCCAAATTTAAAATAATTCATCGAATATTTGGGCTAGACTTTAAAATTATCGTTTTTTTTTTCTTCTTTGCTTTTCTAACTTTTATCTCGATTTATCTCAGAAATTGGCGATGTCCCACCGTCGACCACCGTGGTTGAAGCATCAAATCTGCCCCACCACCACCGTGACCATTATCTCCAGCGCCACCATAAAAGGGCGATGATTGTCCTTTACCGCCACCATTAGACGATGTTGTATTCCCCACTTTAATTAGTTTAGGGTGAGTTCTACCCCACTTCTTAAACTAGCAATAAGATTCACAGCCAATATTGTTTTAAAAAATAAAAGATTATTAAACAAGGAAATTTAATTTATAAAATTAAATGTGTAAAAAAATTGATGTACTATTTACCAAGAACTCAAGATTGTTATATCAAATTATTGTGCACCGAAATAGAGTTACTATTAATAGTAGTTAATGATTTGTATCATTAAATTTGGGAGCTAACAAACTACTTATTTAATGATAAATAATTTGTGAGTTTTTCAAAAAGTTCAAATATATTTCAAGTTTTTGTAACTTTTATATATTTGAGATATATTTACTTTTATGAATCGAACCTCTTAATTTTGTAACCTTTAAATTTAGACCTAAAAGTTTTTTTATTAGAAAAAAGTCAAATATATACAATTGAAATTATTTTGCTAAATCTATTGATGTGATATTTTAAAATAAAAAATATCAACTTAATAATCTTATATTAAAAAACTAATGTTATAATAAACTTGAATTTAATATGAAAAATATAATGTTACTAACAATTGAATTTGAATTTATAAATTAAAAGAATGAAAATATTTTTGAGAATAAAAATCAAATAAACAAATTCCCTATGTAGAGCACATTTATCCAATTTATCTTTTTTAGGTAAATTTTTTTTAATCAAATTTGACTTTTAATTTCATAATCGGATTAAAATTTCTTCAGTAATACATATACATATATTAAATTTTAAAATCTACAAAAAAAATATGTGCAGGTGAACTTCAAACTTTAATAATTAACTGCCCAACCATTGCGCCTTATAAAATAAAGATGTAGGTGAAATATGGTCTACAAGTTTCATTAATTTATAACTCAGTTGGTGTGACTGTATCGATTGTATTTTGCCCACATATTTGATTCTAAAAATTAAATCAACTGAATAAAGAATTCACTTTTTAATCTCTGTGCTGACACACGACAATAATATACTTGTAAAAAAAATTAACTTCATTAAAAGGCAAGCCAGTTAAAATTCAGTACGACTAAATAATAAAGGTAACTACATACTTGTTTTTTTATGGGAAAAATTACCGTGGATTACCATAGTGATGTTTTAAAGTCTAATACAAATTTTTTATATGCAAAATTATTAACCAATTAAAACAGTACGTTTGGCAATTTACATATCCAAAAGAGAAAAAAAATATATAACGAGTTTATATTTGATTGGTTCGTAATTAATTAATGTAATATATCTGCAAATAATATATTTCAACACTTACAGTCTCATGAAGACAATTGTACAATAAAATTAATAAATTATCGGAATATGATATGATTTGAGAGAACCCTTAATTTAATAATATAAGATATAAAAATGGTTTTTGACAAATAAATAACATACCCAACAAAGTCGGCCGGGTCATTTAAAGGACCTTCAAACTAAAACTATTATATTTCTTTGATAGGGTTAAGGAAACGCTTATTCGCAGCCCGCAGGTAGACTTGTCTGTTTGATTTTACATTATATGGTTAGCTGCGATTCAAAGATAACCGTAAATTTTAAATGTTCTAAATATGAATATAATATTTGTAAAGTTGTTTAAATATTCATTATTAAATAGTTAAAAATCTTTTAAATAATTATCATTTTATAATCACAATATATTAAATTCTTTACTTGGTTTAATTAAATACATATTAACATAAAGTAACTTATTGTCTTATACTTGACCCAGGGTTTTCTTTACTTGGTTTAATTAAATATGCTTGTTCTTTCTTTTATCATCAATTTTAATTTAATATAATTTCGTGTGTATATTTTTATTACTATTGATACAGTATAAAATATAAATCTTATATATTATTTAAAAGATTTAATATATCATATCTTAATTATTAAAATAATTTTTTACTTTAATTTTTTATCGGTTCGAATTAGTTAATGTGATAAAAAAAATATTAAATACATAGTTTTATAAAATAATTTATGAAAAATATATAAAATTCAAAATTTATTTTATACAATCACATTTAAACTTGCATGAGCTGGCATGAACCACCCACTCAATATATAAACATACATATATTATATTTGACGTTTAAAATGATGAAAAGCAACAACGGGAAACGCTAGCTCTTCATCTTCTTGGGAACACCTTTCTTCCCTTTTTCTTAGCTAGCTTCCTCCCTCTTATTATCCTTTCACCCCATTTATTTTATCTTCTTCTTTTGCGTCAAGTCCTCTTCGACAACAAAAATTATTTCTCTTTCGACAATTCGATCAATCCCTTTCTTCTGTTTCCTTCTTACAAATCTCGGTTTGTGCACGAAACCCAACAAGCTATGAAGAAGAGGAAGAAATACGATGTTCTCGCTTGGAGACTGGGTGCTATAACAATGTCATCTCTTTGATAGTGATTTCTGGAATGCTTTCTGAGTTTCTCAAGTTTTTTTTTCTTCTCTTATGGCGACGTACTACGGATGAACATCATCGGCCACTTGTAGGGCGGGCGTAAATTTGGGGTTTCATTTCAGCGGCGTACATGGGAAAGCCAGGCATTTCTTTCTTTCACGCTGTTTTCTGGGTTTGTTTCCTGCCTTTCTTTCATCCAAATTTTACCTGATTATTTTCGTTATGATCAGAATTTAAAGCAATATGTAACTTTTGTTCTAAATATATTAAGCATCAGCATTCATATATGATTGCAAAATATAAAAATATATGCTCTACAAAAAGGAAAATGTTCCAGTACCAACTGATATTTATTCTCTGACATTAGATAGGATAAATTAGCAGAAAACATTGTTTTAGTTTAACGAAATCGAAATTGGATGAATTAGTTTATGTTTCTAAAAATGTAAAACAGTGCCCATTTTAAGCCTGCTCCTCCTAATAACGTAATTGGTTGGTTGGTACAGTTCATCAACGGCGGCGTCGCTTTCACTGCTAATTAATTCCTTTACCCACCCTCTTAATTAATTCATAATTAACATAAACAGTCCCTCTTTACTAATAAAGTTTTTTTTTAATTTGAACATAAATTATAAAAAATATAATAGAAATAAGTAAATTATTATAGATTGTCATTAACTAGGTTTGATAGCCATAGGTACATTTAATTTCCATATTGGGGTCCTGTTAATAGGCACATTAATTAAGCTGTAGGTATCTAGAAAATTATTTCTTCGTCTCCCTATTGGTTTTCCTATGCTCCTTTCTCGATAACAAGTGTATATAGAATATAAAAATCTAGAACAAGTAGATTTTAAAAAGATCATTCATCGGGCAGGCCTCGACTCTTATAATAGATTTTCATCGACATTATTTAAATTAATATCCAGCGATTTTTTAAATTCAAAAGGTCATAAATTAAAGGTGTAATCAGTAGAGGTGTAGGTAGCTGATGGAATTGTCAGCAATGTCACATTATTCCACTTCTCATGGGATTATGATGAACCCACTTTTCATCTGTTGATCTTCCCAGTTTCCGAGTGATATGCTTCTCATACGATCACGGATTTAAAAATATATTTGAGAATAAATATATAAATATAATTAATAAAATATATAATTAATCGAAATAAATTTAAAATTTAAAGTGAACACATATCTACCCTAAATGGATGGATCCACCATTGATCTCATGCTTGCATGATTATTGTGATATTTCTTTCCTTGTACCACTTCTTCCTAACAAATAATGATTAATCCATCGTTTTATTCATAATTTTAAACACAAAATTATTATTTCATACGGTAAATATGTAGTACTTTTTATTTGTGTTGATTTATGACGGGTTTTAGTAAAATAATATAAAGAGTTTGTTTAAATATTTTGAAATTTTAAAGATATTTTGAAATCTTACAAACTTGATCACTAACGTTTGCTTTTTTTTTTTTTTTACTTCAACTAACGTTTGACTTAAGTCTGATGATTAATTATATTAGAGTGTTTATTTGTATTTTTATTAATATCCGTAAGAAAATAAATCTTAATTTTGCATCAGCATGAGTGTATTCCTCCTTTATAATAAAAAGGGCATCAGAATAAAAAATATCTTCAAATCTTGAATCCTTTATCTTTAACCTCTCATTTCTGTATTTACCACGTTGCATTCTTCCATTATGCAAAATTGTTCTCTGCTGTTTGGTTTTTTATTTTTGTTTTCAATAAGACGAATTCAAATACGAGTATGGGAAACAAATTAAAATTTTCCTGGAAAAATGATAGAAAGCTTGTGTGCATAAACTTGAAAGAATTGCTGTTAATGCTAGAGTTAGCACCAGCAAAAACAATTCTTGATGCATGGCAATGGTGGGAACGTAAGCAACTAAGAACTTCAAAATTTGCAAGTTTATTCAGTGTTCTTACAAGGGATGATAATTCAGGCAAACAGCCATTTGAATCGAAACAGCAACACAAGAACTCACATTCTTAACACAATCTCAATAACGAATAAATGAATAAATCGTTTTAAAAATTCAAAAGTAATTTGAGAAAACCAGATATGCTTCCCCCTCCAAACATAAATTAAACTCAATGAAGTCCCTGTCTTAGAGGAACAGAAGCCACCCACCTACGAGTGCCAAAACCAGCTGACTCCATATGCCCAAGTTCATAATCCTATGGGATGATGAAGTTGAAGGTAAAGCAGCAGTTCCCTTGGAGTCTGCTGATGGAGCATCTGCAACGGGGCTAATATCAGGGGCCGGGGCCGGGGCAGGAGCAGGCATTGGAGGTATGTCAGTGCCGAAGATTGCCTCTGGAAGAAGTACCTTATCAACTTGATATATTGCAACAGGGTCAGTCGAGTGTACGGCGCTGGTGACTTTTGTTTTGCTCCATCCTGAATCGAGGTGCACAGTGCCGGAATTGTCTGTGAAATTCAAAGTGTACATGCCACCAGCAAGTGTACTAATTGGCCCCTTGGCGCTGAGGTCAGTGAAGTCTGCAAGGGAGTAGAATTTGGGCAGGGCATGGAAAAGAATGAGCGACTTAAGTTGGTAGTCACTGAGATTGGATAAAGAAGGCTTCTTAAGGGCCTTGAAGGCACTGTCCTTTGGCACGAAAATCGTAATGCCTTGATCGGTGTTGTTGGCTTGGTTTTGGAAGGTATCCATGACTTTAGTGGATTCAAGGTAGTTGAGGAAAGTGTGAAATGGACCAGCCACAGAAAGAAGATAAGTGAGGTTTACATAAGCTGGTGCTGGTGCCAGTGTCAGACTGGGGCTCATCGCGGCAGGAGCCGGAGGACTAGCAGCTTGACCAGATGCCAAGGAGGAGCATAAGAGCAACACAGAAGAACCAATCATAAGAATCCTGGAAAACTCCATTTCCCCCCCCCCCCTCAAGAAATTTGGTTTTGCTTCAGCGGTGGCCACTCCAAATTCCTACAAGAATCAAACTTTCACAATTATATTGCAGCTAAATGGTGAAAACCTCAATAAAAAACCAACAAGCAATTCCATAAGAACAGCCCCGTCAGAATCCAGATCAGAATCTAGGGCTCCATCTTCTGTATAAACCAAGTAAGCATTATAAATAAAACAACATCTACAACCTTCTGCAGGAATGTAAAGTAATTAAAAACCAGATCATGATTAGCTCATCTAACAAATCAAATAATGAACATTGAACTTTTGAGATTGATAACCATAAACTGAATTTATATATGATCATTTTCTTTTTCTTGAACTCCTTCAACAAATTACTACTTACCATATGCCCCAAGAAATCCTTGAATTTACAAATGGTTCGAACTAAACATTACTTCTTCTGGGTACTTCATACTAGAAGTTTCCCAGAAATAAAAGCCTAGTAAGTTCCTCAAGAACCAAAAGGAGAAAATGAAAGGAAGAAGAAACCACAGCCGCACAATGTACATCAAATGGAACTATAACAAAAGGAAAACTACAATGAGAGCTGACAAATGCAGGAAACCAACCTGACTAGATGAATCCAGAGAGAGAGTTTGGTGCTTTGGGTACCAATGTAACAGATTGAAATAAAGTGGGAGAATATAAAGAAATTTTCTTCTTCTTCTAAGATATATAAAACGGTAAACTACACGGGTTGCCAGTCAACTATTGTTCCCTTTCATTTTAACCATCAATGTTTTGATTTCATCAATAAGACAATCCAACTATTTAAATGCTTCAATCAAGTCACTAACCGTTAACTTTTAATGGTGGAGGTGATGTGGCTATTAAAAAACTGATATAATTATACATTTGGTCTTTAATATTTATACATTTTATCAGATTAATCTCAATTTTAATTAAATTAACTAAATCTAATCTCTAATTAGATAATGACACATGTCACTACCAGATTAAACTATTGAACCAAGGACATGGGAGCACTCTACAAACGATTGAACCACTGAACCAAGTTAATTGGAGATTAAATTTATTTAATTACAAAATTAGGATTAAATTGATAAAATGTATAGATATTAAAGGCCAAATGTGCAATTATTCTAGTTTTTAACAGCCACGTCACCTTCACCATTAAAAGTTAACGATCAGTGACTTGATTGAAGCATTTAGATAGATGGGTGATCTTATTGATGAAATTGAAACATTGGTTGTCAAAATGAAAGAGTGAAATAGTCGAGTGGTCACCCGTATAGTTTACCCTATATAAAAATACAAACAAACAAATAAAGTAAATTTGTCGATGGGTCTACGATCTGTGCTGGTTTTATCCATATATACCAATTCCTAAGGTTTTCTACTAAATTATCATTCTTCTAAGATTATTTACTAAAAACAATATTTATTTGTATCATATAAGATAAAAACATAACCAATTAATTACACTTTGTAGAAAAGGTGTTTAACTAGATATGGGTTTGACTTACATGGTATAAACCTGTAAAAATATATATAAAAGAAAAGTGTGTGGTTTAAAGGTCCCTATTTAATAAAAGGACCATTTGTCTAATATTAATCTTAATCAACACTAATTTTCATGTTATTTTAAAAAATGCTACATCGTTAATGATAAATTGGATGAAATTTTTAATAAAAGTATCATTTGCATAAACCAAGTGATTTTAGTAGTAAAAAAATTATTGTTATTTCTTAGATCTAAGATTTGAACACCATAAATATTAAATGTATGATCGTTCGCTGTCAAATGGTTGAAAGTTATGTTTGAATATATATTTCCTCCTTATAGTTACACTAGATTAATAAAAAAAAAGGATCTATTTTGCAAAACTAAGTTTTACATGTCTTCGTTTCCTAGAAAATTGAAATGAAGATGATAAACGAAGGTCATGTGTCACGTATTTATTGGACAAATCTTTTTAAATGGGTGACCTATAAATGAGAACAAAATGAAACGTTAAACATATATTTTAATAAAAATAAAATTTTAAACACGTAAAGTCAATAAAACCATAATTTTTACACTTATTTTTATAATTAAGTCTTTAGTTATTACAAAATTTTGTTATGTTTTATAATTATTTTTAATTGTAAAAATATGTGTTTGCATAATTATGTGGAATGTCAACTGTTCATTTGAGTTTAGGTAATAACTGAACCGCCAACTTTGTAATGTATACTTGTAATTCAATCTTGATTTCATTCAAAATTTTAATTAATATTTAGAATGTTTATAAAGTAGTATTTGTTCAGAATATTTTTAATTAATTAACAATCCACATACACTCTTTAAACACAATTGTCCGAACCCAATACTTCAAAGGAGAACAACACTCCACTGACTATTAAAAAAATAAACTAGATAGATCCTTTGGATTAACTTATAATCAATCCGTGTTTGATTATGGACAGCTCCTTCCCTCAATTTTCATTCGTTAGTCATAATAACCGTAGATGCAAAGCTTTAATCATACCCAATCATACGATTTTTTAAATTGATTCAAAGCTTATGCATAATTGCATTTACCAACCAGTTAATCATATTATATAAACTTAATAAAAAAAATAAAATCAGAGCGCCTATTCAAAGTGGACATGCCCCCAATTTGCACATGCATTTTGCTAAAATGTAAAGAGGGATTTCTCACAAACATTCTTTTATAGTTAGAACTTAATATAATAACAAATGATAAAAGTAATATTATTATTTTTGGCCACAAGTAAAGTTAATTTCATCTGAAGTTTAATGCATACAAAATGTAAGGTCTTGGTTCGAATTTCTTGTTTTGGATACCATTTTGGAATTGATAAGTCGACAATTAGTTTTAAAGTTATTTTTACAAAGATTTTGATTATGGGTGTCGATTACACTCACTGATGTGATTTTTAACGTAATGATAATTTTAGTCACGGAAGAGTTTATATTTATTTATAAGACAACAAGACGTATAAAGATATGTTTATCAAAATAAACCTGTCAGATGATTCATATTCAAATTAAGTAAACTTGAAGAAAAAGTACAAAATTGATAATATTAGAATAAAAATTCTCCTATCAAACATTCTTATTAAGGAGTTATATAATTCCTAGTATGATATCTTAAAAATTAAAATTTATTGTTATTAGTGAATTATTTTTTCAAGAAAATTATATTATTATTAATAAATTATTTTTAATACTAATTTTGTAGAATCTTTATTTCGCTCTTGTATTAACATGTTTATGAGGGATATTGATTCGTACCAAGTGATTGTCGTGGGAGATTCTGAAAGTCATTTTAATCAAGGATAATTTGAGATACAAACATGCAAAGAATAAATAAGTTAACTTGGGTTTTATATTTTATTAGATTGTCTTGACTTATCAATTTATGTTTTATTACATGAAACATCTCGTCGTATATGTTTGGGTAATTAGAGTTAACCGATTCATGTTTTATATATAGTACCATACATGTTTGTGTGTGTGTATAGTGTAGTTAGAAACATGAATATGGGTTGAATAACATCATCGTAGAAAAATCTCGTCGGGGACATTCAAACAAGTTCCTGAGACTAAATAACAACGCCAACGGTATTCATCAGAAGGAAAAGAAACGGCAGCAAAAGACTTGCCCAACACAACAAGAAAGACAAAATCATTGACGCAAAGACAAGTATGGAACAAGAACAATATGTAGAATTCAACCAAATATGTTCCTAAAAATCGCTAACTCTGCCTTTAGATTATAGCAAATATTTTCGCAGAGAGATTGTTTCTCACTTCACTTGGTTGCATGAAGAAGTAGCAGATGAAAAATGTCCGAAGGGGACAAGCTTTCTTAGCGAATAAACATATAAAAAATAGGATAAGAACATTGAGTGAATGAAAGGGTGGTAGAGCTCTAAGTCCAGTCTTTGCGGATGTCAAATGTATAGTTGATCTCCAAGTGGCACTTCTGGTCATCATCAATAAACTGAAACAAAACAGAAACGAAAGTTGTGAATTGCTTCCTTTGATTGTACTTAAAAATTAGATCTCCAGTTTAAATTATGGATCAAATAAGTATTTATATAAAACGTTATCAAATGAGTCCTTGTTTAAAAAAATTATGGATCGAACGAGTCTTTACTTAAAAAAATAACGATCATATTTTCTGTAATTTTTTTCATTGTTTAAACACTTATTTAATTGTGATTATTCAAATAAGAATATATTTGATCCATGATTCAAATTAGGGATTCACTTAACTTTTTAGTACAATTAGAGGGACCTATTTGATATATAAGCTTAAGTTAAACGAATGAATTCATGGGCACATATACCATTTTATACATATACCAGTTAAACAATGAAGCAGAAACTATGAATATAATGACGAAGTTGATGATAATAAAAAGACTTAAAACACAAATCATCCCTGCACTTGGTAACTTTAATCAAAGTTGTTCCCCAAAATTTTTTCTTATCAAATTGGCCCCTTTGCAAGTTAGGTCAAATTAAAATTGCCCCTGAACTAAATAACTTTGGACAAATTACCTCATGGATTTTGAAAAGGTGACATGACCCTTAAGATTAACAATATATGTGTGTGTTAATATTCCATCAATGCGGGCCACTAAGGTGGTGATATTATCGACAAAGGAGGAGGTCTTTAAACTCTATTTTCAAATATCATTGTAAGGAGGAGGTCTTTAAACTCTATTTTCAAATATCATTGTGTTAATTTTAGAGATTATTTTGTGTTACGTTTTCAAAGTTTAGGAGATAAATTGATCAAACTTGCTAAATTTAGAGGCAATTTTACTGAAAGAAAAGTTTAGGGGCTAATTTGATTAGATTTATCAAGTTTAGGGGTTAATTTGATGAGAAAAAAGGTTCAAGGGAACTTGACCAAAATTGCGAGTTGGGTGATTTGTGTTTTGCAGACTAGATAGAAGTTGGTTGAACAAACCTTTGATTTTGCAGTATATGATCCTCTAGCCAAAAAACCAGAAGGGGCTGTCTCTTCTGGCATTTCATGTGTATAAGGCTCTAGCTGAGGACTAAAGGTCCCAATCATATCTTTTGTGCTATAAACTGAACCAAAAATAATATACATTTTTAAGAACACTTTTAAGCGTTCCAATTTTGTTTTCATCAATTAAGACACAGAAGGCTTACCCTTGACACCTGTTTTCCATACAGTATTAGTGTACCTGAGGCCCGATACAATGTTGTTGCTTACTTGGAAGGAGAACTTCAACCGATATTGACTATCTTCTTTCAGTGTAAACCATAAGCCCTGCGGCTTTCCGTCTTCCGGAATCGGAAGAACCATGTCGGCCCTGTCCGCCGAGACGATCGACACGCTAAGGAACTTCACTTCTGGATCAAGTGTTTCTGTTTCGTATACGAGTATTTGCTTCATAATTCTGCATTGGTACTGGATTGAACCTGTATGCATTAGTTTGGTGTGTACCTCCAATGTTGTTAATATCCACACCTCCGAGAAGCTGTTCTTTCCATTTCCTTAAGCTCTCATCATCCTACAGATACAAATAACGAATCCAGGAACAGAACATAATAACAAGACAGCGTGAGGAACAAAACAAACAAAACCTCGTCTTTTTCAAGCTGTTCTTTCAGGGTGCGCTGTGGACCCAATGGAATGGCCTCATCACGATCATCATCACTGTCTTCAGGATGGGTCCCGGTCGTGTCTTTAGCTTCCTCCTTGCCCTTGTTGCCATCTGACGCCATATTAACTTCGACTTGGTACAGACAAAGACATCAACAGTGGAGGAAAAGAAGAACCAAAAACCAGTACTGTTGACCCTCCCCCGAACAAAAAAAAGACAAAAAAGGTAACAATATTTGTCTCTGTGGATAGATTGGTCCTTGTCTGATAGCCTCTTTTTGGTGTTGAAAACTCAAATGCAGGCACGACAGAGGGGACAGCTCTCGGTGTTGGTTTGTTAATTGTGTTTTGTTCAAAGTTGGAAAGGGTCATGTGGTGATCCGAAATCTACTCTAACTATTGAAATTAATTAAGGACCAGGACACTTGTAACCCCCAAAAAAAAAAAATAGTTAAGGACCAGGACACTGTTTATTATTTTATTTGTAGTGGTTATTGTTAATATAATTTAAATTAAACTATTAATTTCTTTTTTAAGAAAACAAAAAATATTTTTATTTAATAAAATAACATGAGCTGTTAACTTCAGTCTTTCAATATTATTGACTATTGATACATTTATTTTGATAAAAAATTGAATTAATTTATTAAAATATGTTTATATATTATAGTATTAGTACTAGGGAATATTTGTCTATAAGACTATCTTATGAACAATTTTGAATTTCTTTGATCGCATGATATCTGAAAATTTTCAGCTATTTAATGGCAAATAATATTTTTCTAAATCAATACTTTTTTTGATTGCATATTAATTGATGGAGTTTAAAATAAATATTAAATCAATAAGTTATTATTGAATAAAATAAAAAATTAAAATAGTACATTAAATAAAAGGGCTTTGCCACCAGCTTGTCCAGACCTTCAAACAACTCTCGGGTGGACAAAGCTGAACATCAAGAGGGCTTTGGCATCACTCCAACAGGGAAAAACCGAAGAAAAGCACCATAGAAATACCACAAAAGCTTTGCAGGATAAGGTCAAATTGAATCTGCTCAACAAAATAACGAAGACTACCGCGCCTAACTCGCATGGAAGCAGAGATCCTCAAACACATGCAAACAAAGCAATTAGCAGATTATCATCCCGAATTTAAGTTAGATCAAAGACACAACAACGACTTATCTTTCCAATTCCACTTTTGAAAGGGGAGACTCCGGAAAAACATTCTCAATGACAATCGAGCTGGATAATTACTAAAATGATCGATTCTCAACCGACTCACGATGAAATGCATGATGATTGACACTTCAAAAGGAAACTCCCAAAACATCAGAGTAGTAAACACACCAAAGAAGAGAACCACGCGGACCAATCATATATTATCAACACAGTTGATCCCTGAGCTACTGATTGATGATTTTGACCCTCCATAGACATTTCCATATTATGGATCAGCGACAACTCACTAGAACCCATCTCCCTAACGTTCAACAACAAAACCACATCCTCAAGAGGCGACAACGACTTCGCTCTTACCACGTTGAAGTCTTCAAAGTTCCTCAACCTGAACAAAGTCTTCGATGATGTTTTCCTTATTGTCCTCAAACCGAATCCCTAATATTCTCCCAAGTTCTATGGTATTTTTAGTTTCTCAGATTCCGAAAGGGAAGTCTCAGAAATTTCTATCTTGCTATCCCCAGTGCCTTTCATTTTGATTTTCTTGATCGCACTATCTCTCGTTTTCTTTCTTCTGTTTTGAGAGGACCTTTATCTTAAATCTCTAAGATAGAGCCGTATTTCTTAACTACTTGGCACTTGCCCTTATCGACTTCATCAGGTAAACTACATCCGAAAAGTGGTAATCCAGGTCGATTAATTAATAAATTATTATTGAATTACTGAAATTAAAAATTTTAAATTATACATTAAATAAAGTTTTACATAAATTCTAATTAAGACAGTAGAATTGTCTTATCCTGTAATAATAAAAAAATAAAATAAATATTAAATCAATAAATTAATAAAATAAAAAATAAAAGTTTACATTACATAAAAGTTTACATAAATTTTAAAATGATAAAATTATTTTATCTTTAAAATATTTTTAAATAAAATAGATTATTAAGGAAGATAGTAATAATTAACATAGCAATACTTGAATAGTTGTTGCATGGATACATACGTACAAATAAAATCAAACTCTTAAAATATAATTATGTTTTAGAAGTTAAGAAGAATGAATAGAGTTTTAGTTGTAGTATTATTAGGAGTAAACGTTGAAATAGGATAAGTTTCATATACATTATATATACTGATTAAACAGACAAAACATATCATCATCTTTCTACTTTACCTCACGCCTTTGGTGCCAGTGCGATTTCCTTTGCTTCAGAGTTATTAGAATGGGCGGCGGTGGAGGTATCTCTTCTGGTCCCGGGAAAAGCTATGCCGGAAATTTTACTTGTAAGGTCTTTTTCGCTTGCGCTGTTGCGGCTTCGGGTGGATTAATCTTTGGTTATGATCTTGGGATTTCTGGTAAAAACATTCTCTCTTTCCTTTTTTTTTTTTTTAGAGAAAATAATTTGACAAAAAATGTATAATATATTATTTTAACAATTTTTTTTGGATTTGTCAAAATGACCAACTAAATCGTAATGCGATCGATAATTTGCAACGCGATCGATAATTTGCAACGCGATCTCTGGTATCGTAAATCAGTTTCCAGATTCGCAACGCGAACTTCGACTATCGCAATGCGATTTTCCAAATTCGTTGCGATAGTCCAAGTTCGCGTTGCGATAGTCGAAGTTCGCGTTGCGATTTATTCCAAATTCGTTGCGATAGTTCAAGTTAGCGTTGCGATAGTCGAAGTTTGCGTTACGATTTATTCCAAGTTCATTGCGATAGTCGAAGTTCGCGTTGCGATTTATTTCAAATTCGTTACGATAGTTCAAAATCGCAACGACTGATCGTGGCCGTGGTCTTGAAGTTACATCCATGGATCCTTTTTAAAAAAATTCATCCCGGAAGTTTATAATAAAGAAATATCTGTCCAACCTTCAGATGATCAGTACTGTAAGTTTGACAGCCAAATATTAACGTTGTTTACGTCTTCGTTATATTTGGCTGCTCTTCTGTCATCCATGACAGCATCTCGGATCAACCGACGACTTGGGAGGAGGACGACGATGATGCTCTGAGGTTTTCTTTTCTCCATTGGTTCCGTTCTCAACGGCTTAGCCATAAACGTACCCATTCTTATTATTGGCCGGTTGTTGCACGGCTTTGGCATTGGATTTGCCAATCAGGTACTCATCGGTTTTTCATTTATTTGTTTGGATATCATATAAGTATGTTTGTGTTTAATCTGAATTTTATTTGCAGTCTGTTCCGATTTACCTATCTGAGATAGCTCCCTTTAAATACCGAGGAGCTTTGAACATTATGTTCCAATTGTCAATCACCATTGGTATATTAGTTGCCAACTTGTTGAACTACTTCACTGCAAAGATCGAAGGTGGGTGGGGTTGGCGAATAAGCTTGGGCGGAGCCGTCGTCCCTGGTTTGATATTTTTCTTTGGTTGTTGTTTCCTCTGCGACTCGCCAAACTCGTTGCTTGAACGCAACAAATTAGAAGAGGCTAAAGATCTGCTGAGAAAGATCCGTGGCATCGAAAATGTTGATGAAGAGTTCAAAGATTTGGCAAAGGCCAGTGAGGCAGCCAAGTAGGTTCAAAACCCTTGGAGAGATATTATAAGCAGGAAATACAGGCCTCAGCTCACCTTCGCTATATTGATTCCCTTGTTCCAACAATTAACCGGCATGAACGTGTTCGTGTTTTATGCTCCTGTTTTGTTCAAGAGCATGGGATTTGGCAACAACGCTTCCCTTATGTCCGCACTCATCACTAGCATTGTTATTTTTGTGCAACACTTGTTTCCATTGCCACCGTCAACAAGTACGGAAGGAGGACTCTTTTCCTCTCCGGTGGCCTTCAAATGTTTCTTTGTCAGGTAATGACTATTTCAATTCACCAACATTTAAGCATTTTGATTTTGCTTACTAAATTCATCGTTTTTTTCCCTCCTTTCTACTTAGCTTGTAATGACTATTGCAATTGCTTCCAAATTCGGTAAGAGTGGGAATCTGGGTCAACTTCCACTTTGGTTTTCCGTTGTCGTTGTGGTAGCAATGTGTTTTTACATAGTCGGTTTTGCATATTCATGGGGTCCTTTGGATTGGTTAGTTCCCAGTGAGATATTCCCACTTGAAATCTGTCCCGCTGCTCAAAGTACAACGGTTGCAGTCAACATGATCTTCACATTCGCTATTGCTCAAGTCTTTACGGTTATGCTTTGCAACTTGAAGTTTGGAATGTTTATTTTCTTTGCATTTTGTGCGGTAGGTATGAGCGTTTTTATCTATAAGTTATTGCCCGAGACAAAGGGAGTCCCCATCAAAGAAATGACCATTGTTTGGAAGAATCACCCTTATTGGGGCAAGTATGTAGATGATGTCAAAGCTTTCCCAAGCCGTGAAATGGGCGCAATTGTTTAATCTTCTTTTTAGAATACTTAGGTTAGATTTTGATCAAGTTTTTCAGCTAATTATTGTTTTTTATTTGATATTAGTAAGAATTATTTTTTTTAATTAGGTGTTTTCATTAATTCTGTTTATTACAAATAATGTACTTACATCCAACACATTCAAAACTTAATAGAAATTCAACTAAAATTTGGATATTTTGGATTGTCGAAGATTAGACTTGTTTACAATTGTATTTGGATTGTCGATTTGAAATTGAATGCATTAAATTGTAAGCCATCGGATATTTTGAGGAGTTTTTAGTTTATAATTCCAAGTAAATTTTAAGGATTGTCGAAGAAGTAGGGTTTTCAATGAGAAGGGAACTAATATTAAAGATCTTATGTTCTATTCAAAACTTGGATCCCTGGTTTGGATAAAAGCAGTACAGGAAGACCTATTGATGAGTGGTGGGATAACCCAATAAGATGTTTCACAGCAGGTCCCCAATGTTCCTCGGTTTGGACTAATGTGGAAGCTGGTTATGTAAAATCTAGTGTGCATGGTTTGGCTAAGAAAGGTAATGCAGGATGTGGAGGGGTTCTTTGCCCTGATAAAGGCACAACTAGAGCAGTCTTCTCCGATTCTGTATGTTAATCTGAATTAAATCATGCCAAACTTATATAGAAATGATCATCTGGCGGAAATGAGCAAACATAAAACTTTTCACACAACCAATGAATCAGTAATCCAAACTCTGAGTCTAATACTTTTACATCATTCAATCATAAAAGAACTTTAAAATGACAATCAGGACCGTTGATATGCACATTAGTAAATGAATGAATGACCGGTGATCATGTTCCAAGGTTGTCTATTAACCTAACAATAAAACTGGCAAGCACATCATGCAGATGCAGTTACTAAGAAATGAAACATCATATAGAAATAGGAATGTGCTGCCAAATTTAAGACGTTATGCCCAACGAAAAATAGCTAGAAGATTCCTCATACGAAAGATTTTAAGCTATGCTTCTACAATATTAAACAAGATTGGGCTACTAAACTCCAACGAACGTCACTAGTGAAGCATTTAGCAGAAATTTCCTCAAGTGAAAACTATAGAGAGATCTCAGGATGCAGGTAACAATACTTACCTATATTTGTTTGTCTCTTATTAACACTATAGCCACCAACATAACCAGGAGAGCTTTTACCCAAAACATCAGAAGTGGCACCGCCAAGTCCATAGCCAAAGGAACCGGAAACATTAGGCTCAGATGTTGATGATTGCCTAGTGACATCCCCATAAACCGAAACACCACCATAAAGGTCCGCAAAGGCTCCATCATAACCACCATTTGATGTTGGCGCTAAACTGGTCTGGCTATTTCTTCCATGCCCTGTTGTCCCCAAGCCACAGCATTTATCATCACTTCCATAGCCAAATTTAACACTATTGCTAGAAACATTATTCCCCTCAAATTGACTGGATATTGCAGAACCCCAATTTATTCCACTGTTTCCAAAGTAACTTCCTCCGGTACTCCCACTTCCAGATCCCATATATGCACCGGGACGAGAAACTTTTGTGTTATAATTGAGTCCACTGTTTCCCCAAAGGTTCTGGGTAACTGAGCTGAAAAATGAAGTATTACCTCCGCTACTTCCATCATACCCAATAGGACTACCAAATCTATTCGTATCATCAACATTGTAAGGGCTCAATCCCCGTCCATAGCTCATATTACTACTAAAATTTGCACCACTGCCAAAAGCGGGATTTAACCTGGGCTCAATGTCTATGCCCATTCCATCACCAGAACCAAAAGGAGGAAACTCACTTCGGCCACTAGTAACCGGACTGAATCTCGCACCCATCCTAAGTCCATAGCCTTCTACATTGTTTGGACCATATCCCTGAGTGTAGCCATTAAGGAAGTTGTTGATCCTATTCACATCATAGTTATATCCACAAAGAGGGCTATGATTGGGACTAGGCGATAACTCTTTGGGAACTGCTCGTTTTACCTCAACCAGTTTACCATTCAGTTCATGAAAATTCTTTAGCAACACCTTGTCCACCGTCTCTTCTGAATCATAAGTGATGAACCCGAAACCCCTAGGCCTTTGGGTGTTGTGATCTTGCATCACCACAACATCTGTGATATTCCCAAACTGATCAAAATACTTCTTAAAATCATTCTCTGTGACTGTTGATGCTAAACCTCCTACAAAAATCTTTCTTGTGCTGCCTGGACCAGGTGAACCATGGTTGCTACTAGCGCTTCTACTCATAATGTTCTGATCATCCCTAGGAACTGCCTTTTTTGCCTCAACCTGAGCATAAGTAACTCTGGTGAAAATAAAACTTATACAACGCAAACTCTTTCAGCTCAATATAAGTAACAATACTAATCAAAGAGAAAATCAATCATAACCAACATCATTGCAAAGAAAGAAGATAAATAAGAAGCATTATTAATTTATTACTCAAGGCTCAACTTTGAAATTTAGTTGGACAAGGAACCAAGATGATGCGAATTCCGAAGAAATTTAAGTTTCACCACTTGCTTCAATAACCTAATAGAATTGATCAATAGTACATTGCACAACAATAATCTAACAAAGTGTGCTTATAGATTAATAACTCACCATCCTGCCATCAATGTTGTGTTTCTCCTTGATGACTCTCTCGGCAACAGCCGGGTCTGCAAAAACAATAAAACCAAAACCACGAGCACGCCCCGTCGTTCGATCCTTCATGATCACTGCCTCTATCACATCACCAAAACTACTGAAATACTCCTTGAGACGCTCTTCATTTGTGTCCCAAGCTATCCCACCAATAAATAGCTTTCCATTCTCAAACATCTTTTTCTAAATTCGTAACATAGAAAGTCAATTTCATTATTGGATTCAATGCAATACATAAAAAAAATTATTTTCAACAATAACAACAATAGACCGATCAAAAACCAATACCAAACCATTCCTTTTAGGTGAATCAAATTACTAATAACACATCAAAGGGGTGCCTTTTATTGACTATATATAGCAATCCAATCACAATAATGAATATACAATTCAATACCTTTATTTCAACAAGAATAATCCGATACAAAAAAAAAAAGGATTTTTTTTTCTCTTTGGTTCAAAATTCAGAAACAAGCAGCTCTTTCCACGATCAATCAACCGACCAACCCAGAAATTAACTTCACCTGAATTCAGAAATGAAAAGGAAAAAACCAAAAAAATACAAAACTCAGATGGTTGATCAATCAATACAGCTGCAGAAGTTTTTGGGAAATTCAAGCAACAGATAAAACAAACAAATTAAAACAAAATCTCAAATCCAGAGTCAGATTCAGCAAAACAAAAAGACCCACCAATCAAAGTAAACCCCAAGTGCCAAATCTGGGGAGGAAAACTAAGATCTGAGAGGAGGCACGATAAAATTAAGAACAGAGGAGGTTAATTTCATCCCCCTCTTCTACTTGCCTTCTCCCTTCAAATAATATTTCCTTATAATGGTAGCCTTTCTTTAAAATAATTCCAATCTTTCTTTTCTTTTATACCCAAAAATGCAAATTCAGTTACAAATATTTAGACAAATTGGTAATGCGCAAGCTTTATTTAGGGAGGAAGATGAAGATATAGAGATGTTGTGGAAAATATATACTTATAAATAGAAACAGACTCTCAGCAAAAATGGAACACGACCCTCATTTTCTTCCTTAATTTGTCTTAAAAAGAAAAGGTTGCTTTCAAGACAATTTTACGTAAAAATACCAACCATGTTTAAATATAAATTTATATTGTTGAGCAAAATATATTAAAAACAATTATACCATTAAATATATTTTTCTTAATTGGAAAGTGAAAAGACAGTTAAAAATATATATTTAAAACAATTATAATATTTCAAATTTAAAACCTTTATTTTATACGTGAAAAAAAATACTAGTTATACTCTAATATATAACATTAAATTTTATAATCTGAAATAGTAAATCAATTATAATTGTTTTACAAATTTAAATTAAGAATTAATTCATTCCACATAGAGTTTAGGTTGATGTGGCAATCATTTAGACATGACGCATACCACAATTTAGGCCACTCACATAAGATAATTCTTTAGGTTAGTAGAGCACAAGGTTCTTAACCTTGAGGTCATGGGATCGAATCTTATGGAAGGCATTTCATAATTTAGAGGTCTCCTACGGAAGCTGCTCTCAACCTAGTGTTGGGGGCAGCCTATTATCTTACCTCTCCCTTACCTCATTACATATGGGAATAAGGGATAACCATTTTGAGGTCGTGAGATCGAGTCCTATGGAGGGCATTTCATAATTTGGAGGTCTCCTACGGAAGCTGCTCTCAACCTAGTGTTGGGGGCAGCCTACTATCTTACCTCCCCCTTACTCCATTACATATGGGAACAAGGGACAACCAACCACATAAGATAATTCTTTAAATTACTTTAAATTCGTGTTATATATATAATTTCATTTATTATAATATAAAAATTAATGATAAAATTTAATCATTTCGTTATGTATTTTATTTTAGAGTATTATATATTTCCCTTGACCTCAAAATGGTTCCATTATCATAAACGCAAAATATACTTAAATAATGTATCAAATTTGAGAATATCAATTAACTTAATTCAGATTTATTTTAATTTAGATAATAATATATTCTAATAATCAGTTCGTATTTCAATTAGTTTTCATAATTATATAAATATATATCACGAATACAAAATGAAGGAAAATAGGATCTGCCATATTTGGAATGGGAAAGCTTTTGGCCAAATTGTTTTCAACAATATATGTTACATCTCCATAATCTCAACAAATCAAAACTAAACAAAACCAACATCTGAATCTGATTTGTATTGCTTCAATCATCAGCAATTGCTCCTTGATCAAGGAATGAACTCATATCGGCAATTTTCATTACCTGCAGCAGGTATTTTTACAAAGACCAGATCAATCAGAAACAAGAGTATCTAAAGCCCTGATTCATTTTCTAAACACATCTCATTTTTTACTCTTACAAGAGTTTTTTTTTTTTATTTGCTTTTCTTTTGAGATTGACTCAAAGTGGCACCCACATGGATTATAATCCTGATTTGTTAACATGTTTATCTTCCTTTTTGCTTCAGCTAATACCCTAATGCTTTGCTTTTTAGCATTGTTAAGACGCAAGTTGCTTCCTATATTACGTGTTCCCCAGCTAATGCCCACATGGCTTGCACTTTATACTTTCCAGGCACATGCATGCATGGAAATGGGATTTTTTTTTTCAGAAGTTATTTTACATGCAAAATAATAAAGGGAAAAAATGTATAGTTAATCTAGGTAACTATGCTTACTGGGATCGAGTTCTGTAATCATGGCAGTTCCTCTGAAGTTGCAAGATCCGCTCTTGTGTTTGAACTTTTGGAAGTAATCATTGAAGGCATAGGAAGCATGGTTTCTCATGGTGTTGGGAAAATAACAAGGCTGCTTCATCTGAATCTTACTGCAATCTGCACCGCCGCTCCCACAAGCCCAGTCCGTGGCTGCCTTCAACTCATCGTCTGGGGTTTGCTCATCAGCTATGCACCATTGCTCAAACTCCCCGGCTGATCATATAACAACATCGACACTATTAAGCACCCATATATGTAGATCAAAGTTGACAATCATGGCAATATTTGGAGTCTGAAAAAGTCAAAAACACAAGTTATAGGTTAGCAGAAACGAAACCTGATTTTGGAGGGATTACTGACATGAGTTGCAGAAGAAGTATCACCCTTATGGCCAAGAAGATGGACATTTTTTTTCCTTTTAGAGAGGGATACAGAGAACTTGGAAAAGAAAACGGTTTGTACGCCGGCAAATCTCAAAACCCATACATACTATATATACTGAAAACCTTGAGATAAAGTGTCAATTGTCATTTTAGGTTCGTCTATTTGCAAAAATAAGAAGATAGTAGTAACAAAACGTTGTAGGAGCCATGTGAAGTGAGTAGAAGTACGGGCTTTTATAGTGGCCGTTTCTTTTTAATCTTCTGCCTTGACAACAGAAATGTTAAGCAGTAGTACCGATTAACAGTAGGATCTAAGAAAAATGTTTAATGTAATTAATATTAATCTTTGTGAAGACTAGTGACAAATTACTTGAGTCTCAACTCGAGTGAAACAGTTGGAAAATGTTGGCTTTTGCGTATACCAATTACAACAGATCCGTACATCCTTACTATTGAAATTCTCTTTACAGGTAAATGACAAGACTAAAGAATTGTCCACCAACCTTAGAATCTCAAAAAAAACCTGGGAATCAAAAAGAATGGAACATATTCTCACCACTCGATAGTTAAAATTCTTGGTTCAAAAACTTTAAAACAAAAAATGGTGGGGAGGTGCAGTAGCTTTAAACTAAGAAAAGGAAAATTGGTAATACCACATAGCAAGAGAAAGACCTGCAGATCCTTATCTTCACTAACATTTAATGATCAATAACAGTTACAAGCGAACTGGATCATTTATGCTCTCAACCCTAGCAAAACAGATGATACTATTGACGAGTTTTTCTTTTTCGGCCTCTTCGAACGGATTTACACTTTCAATTCTGGCCAATGATGTATCTTCTTGGTGCTCCCTTCCATTCAAACCTATTGGAGTTCCCAAAAATACTCTAAGACTGGATATTGAACGTCTTGGTTGGTTTACAAAAAAAGATATTTGTCACTGTTTCAGTAGTTACTGGACCAGTTCATCTGTGCATGTTGAGGCTGCCGATAAACACCGGCAGCAGATCCCCCCATATTAACAGCTCCAGCCATAGTCTGAGCCTGTTGTAGAAGAGGCTGAACAGCTGCGGCTGTTGCCGCTTGTGGATGATATATACCAGCAAAGGAACCAGGTACAACTTGCGTTGGCGCAAAAGTTACATTCTGACCTGGAGGGGCAAGATTATAGAATGAACTTGCTGGCAGGTTTGATATATCTCGCCCAGGGGGAGCAATCCATACAGCTGAACCTTCACTCTGCAAGAAAGTAAATAGGTTAAACAATCATCTTAGAAGGGAAGGTTGTTTGGATATAAAAAGGAACACTATATTTTCAAGAATGTCAAAATCCCAATGACATTTTCTTTCCGAAACCCATGTTTATCCTGATCAGAGCACAGAAAATGCTTAAAGGAAAAAAGCAACTGTCCCATGTAGAACCATAATAGACAAACAAATCAAGTGATGAAAACATGCTGGGCAATTAATTAACATGAACTTCGTGCGTCAATGTCCTTGGTCCAAGAAAGGATAGGGATTTATCCTGATTATGAAGCACAAACTAAGGATCAACTTCACCACAGAGACCCCCTATACCGGAACAAACAGAAAAAGAAGTCCACTTACATTTACAGGCTTCTCAAAACTGCAATGTAAGGAAATGGAAAATGAAGAGAGAAAAATCACTCAATGAGGGGCCCAATTCAAACACCAACAACATTTCCCACTAGCAATGAACTAATGGCCCTAAAAATTCCCAAAAATAAAAGAAAGGTCATCCTCTCTCTGCCGTTACAAACACTTTACAGAGTATGCACTGGTTTGTTGTAAATACAAACCAAGATCAAAGCTACTAGTTTTACATTATCGTCTTATTTTCCGCACTTAGCCCGCTCTTACATTCTTGTCTTATTTTGCAAATTTGATCCATATTATGTGGCTGGTTCGCTAGTATCTACTATAATATAAAGATTGTGTTATATGATACATGTGATCATTACTGGGAAAAGAAAACTAGAAAAAATTGGGCCATGACCCATGAACCTACAAAATAATTGTTTCAAACATTATCATCATATGTCATAAATAAAACTCTTTAAGAAATAAGATGAATAAATCACAGAAAGAGACAGAAATGGGAATACGGTGTCAACCTGCTGCCCACTGGCGTACACATTGTTTTCCTTGAACTGAGCACCACCAAGATCTTCATTTGTGGTTGAGTTTCCAGTAGTCGCAGCAGAACTTGGATTATAACCAGCTGGGGAGGAGCCATATGGTCCATAACCACTTGGCATTCCAATATGAGCAGAATTTAGTGTATTACTTCCGGGCTTAAATTGAGGTAGTGAAAATTTGACTCCTGTAGTTGGTCCTGCTGGTGCAGAAGGATAAACAGTACCAGCCTGAGTCTGTTGAGGAAACACCCCGTTGTTTATAAATTGGTGGATTGCAGGAGAAGGAACATAAAAAGGAGAGTAAAAGGGGGCATATTGAATGTAGTTCGGAGGATAATGCGGTAAATGCACCCCCGCTGCTGAGCGGTAGACGGGGACTGGTTGCTGAGTCAGAGCAATAGAACTTTGCATCATCCCAGCAGCTTGAGTCACTATTGGAGACGAAGTTGTAGTCAGTACCAAAGAGTTTCCACCCTGCCAAGAGATGAAAATCAGCTCCAATATCCAACAGTTATTAAGTTTGAAAGAAACTCTCTTACTACCCTAAAGTTTGATAAAATAAATACACCAACCCCCCAGAGATATAATTTACCAAGTCAATTTCCCCAAATTAATTGCCTTGAGTAATCCTATCCATTAACCATGTGAAGTTCAAAAAGTATCCTGGGACCAAATTGCAAGCAGGCAAAAGTCTAAAGCAAAGAAGATGTGTTGTCAACAATGTTACCAGAACACTGCCAACCACAGCTCTTCAGTATATAGCATAATATAACTTGCAAACCTCAACCTAAGTAAATTTGTGAACAAAAAGCAATATTCTCATTCAACCAATAACAGATATATAACATATTCAAAAAGTAGAAATGCAAGGTACTGAATCTTAATATCTGCAAACCTCTTGAGACTGTGAAGTCTGTGGAGGAAAAACTGCGACATTCCCATTGTACTTTGTAGCAACTCCAGAGGCAAAGGGAGAAACACGGCCATCAGTATCAGAACTTGAACGGTAGAATTGGGCGTAATAAGCTGCTGGGTCAAATGGCTGAGGAACCTGATGATTGAAGCATTTAATAATGGAAGCAGTATTAGAGCCAACAATTGGCATAGTGCAATTGACTTTATTTAAACAATATTTCAGATTATAGCAACCAGCAGAATGACCAAAACCAAATGCAAACTGAGAATATAAAAACCTGCAAATTCGAAATTCGATTTATTTATTCTATTGTCTACATAAAAGTAGTGCTAAAAATTAAGTTCGAAAAAGTTATAGAAACCAAAAGAGCGACATATATTAATGAAAAGAACGGTGAAAGTGGATGCTCACAACAAAGCTTGAAAGGCGAGAAACTTCACGTGCTTGAGATTCAGCATTTCCGAACGGTGCTAACATAGGAGGCACAATTCCAAAACTATAGTTAGGAGATGTTACTGCAGAGTGTTGATGATGGCTTCCAGAGAGCAATGCATTCTCCTGTTTGTTTATTTCTTTGGAATGGAACTAGCAACATCACCAGCACCAGACAAATTTCCAGGTGCATGAGCAGGTGATTGAGGACGATCAGTGCAATCTCCTTCCTCAGCAGTCTCCAATGCATTTTGATTGCTGGAATCAACAATATAACAAGAAAATAACATGAGACAAGTACTCCAAAAGAGACCAAATAGTATCAAGATTATGATATCTAAAAAGGGTAGTTTCTTATTCTGGGGAAAAAAGAGGCCAACATTGCTAATAAGAAAGAGAAATAAAAAGTTACATACATTGGAAACTTTTAACAAACCTTGAGCCATGTTCTTCTGCAGTCTCATCAACATCTTGAGAAGCCTCAGACAAAGGTGTAGAACACTTATCACTCTCCTGACCTCCAACATAATTCAACGCTACTCCAAAACTAGCATCAAAACTTCCAAAACTCAGCTTCGTTCTTTCAGATTCCGGAACATGGATATGGTTGGGAATTATTACATGTTGACGTTGTGGGAGATGTAATTCCTCTAACTTTTTCTGCAATTTTGAAGTGTCTACTTCTGAGTTGAGAACATTTGAAACAGGCAACGACTGAGCATCAGTTTCAAGTGAAACAATAGGAACTTCAGATGCACCAGCCGTTCTGGCACCTGGTACAACATTAGAGGTTACTGGCTTTGGTTTCCACTCCTTGTTAGAACCAACTGTTGATGGCACATAGGGAACTATTAATACTTATCTTTAGCAAACCTTTCAACCATGTTAAGATAAGAACATAAAGTGGTTCAATGATTTGTCAGTATCAGCTTAAATAGGTTCCAAGACCACACATTTTCGTTGAAGATTGTTCAACCATTAGTAATAATATGAAAATAAAAAACCAAGCAAACTTGAGTTAAAGATACAATATATTAGCCATTTTATCCCTTCTAACAGTTAAACTGACATTTAAGGTTCTACTTTTGTTCGCATAAGAAGTCATCATCTATCCTACAAAGTTATAATGATGGTTTTCACCCAACTACAGAATTTAGTATTGCTCAAAGGTTAAAAACAAAAAGGTTAATGATGCCCATTTAACAAAGATGGTTACATATTCCAATTATTATAAGGGGCAAACTAACGAGTCTGAACATTTTTCAAGCAAACATGTAATCAAGAAAATTTTCCTAGAGTAATAAACCTACATAAATGCCATCTCCAAAAACCAATAGATCTTGACACCAAGGCTAGATCCAGAAAATATAAGCACCTATGTAGGATCCAGTTAAGACACATTAGTACACCAATAGCTTCTTTCTCTATTTGTCTATGTATAAGGATGGAAAGATTATAGCACAAAATCCGCAATATTTTGTGCAGCTTTGTGCAATAGAATATCCCAATTACCTTTATGAGGGCCAGTTA